AGGCTGAAGTAGAAATCGTGACAGTGTGATGTGATGACAGATCTCCTACAGGGACACAAGCTATTGAGAGTGTGAGTGTGAGACACAATCAGAACAGATGGACACAGATAAAGTCAAGAGTCACAGACACAGTCCATTAGTTGTCCTAGCTGGAGCTCCGGCAGTGACTCCTCATTTTGAATCGCCCTCTGATAGTCATGTCCTGGTCTCTCACAGCCTCACAGACACACCCTCTCATGAAGACAATTTCCTCATGGGATTTATTTTCATTCCTTAGATTGACGACTGATTCTGCTCTATCCTGGGTATCAGAAAGCCAAGCTGTAGTTCAAGATGCTGACTGACCATTGAGGCAAAAGCCAAAGGTGTCATAATATTTACTGCAATTTACTATTCCTTAAAATATTTAAAATATCGATCCACTGTATTGACGTGATTGTTGAATTTACTGGAAAAATTAGAAATTGAATTAGTAGAGCAATATTCACACATGGATTAAAATTACACAATAAGTAATTTATTGAAACAACAGCAAAATGTGCACTGCAAACCAACAGGAATATATATACAGTGTCTATAGAGCTCCCTTTCAAAATTGTCACCCTTAGTTGCCTTAGAGTAAAGATCAAACACCCTACCCCTCAATATCCAAGTGAAAAATATTCTACAACTTTTTTAGCAAATTAATAGTAGATCTAGAATCTGAAATAGCTTGGTTGGATAAGAGCTCACCTCTTGTAGCAGCGATTCTAAATTAGCTCACGTGTACCCAATCACCTTCAGAATCAGATCTATTTGATTAACAAATTTATGAACAAATAAAGTAACAGAGCATCTGGACCCCAGTGTGCACTGAGCTCAATTTAATGAGGGTTTCTAAAGATAAGAAGACTGAAGAGAAAGTACCAGAGCAAGATCTGGTTCAAGAAGCCCAGCTGAAGCAGCAGTGGAGTTTACATGATCAAGGTCTCAGAACTCCACAAGAACACATGTGCTCCAGCAGCTGGGAACAGTTAACTGAGGATCAGCAGCTGGCTGTCAGAGTTGGGCTCTTGCAGGAGCAGTTGCAGCAGCGAGTTTATCTTACAGTAGCAGAGTATAATGAAGTGCAACAAGCACAGGTAAAAACGGTTTTTGGCCCACAGAGGACATGTGAAAAAAGAAATGAATATTGTAATGGAAGCTAAAATAAAGTTTTTTTCAGCACTACCACAACAAGGAAACAGTAAAATTGAAATCTTGGACCTTGAAGAGGCTACTTATTAAAACAGTTTAGTTTTTTTAGCTCT